CTATGACTTAGGTATTGCTTTCTTTGATTACGCGTTCACTGTCATAGTCGGCATAGAGCGCAATGATTTACGTTGAGGTGTATGTCCCGATCACATGGCCTCCCTCTGCGCTCTTTGCCGACTATGAACTGCTCGACCGCTCTTTCCAACACCTCGGGGAGGCAACCTATACAGCAACATTTACCGACTACTTTCGTCCACACATCAGCCCCTCCACGTGTCGACTAACGTCGTCCACTCCGACCTCAAACTCGGCCTCGGTCCCACTGTCGGGGCCAGTAACGTTACTATATTATCAATGCTACTTTAGTTATAGCCTGATATATGATAGCTAACTTTACAATGTTGTGATGTGACGTTAGCTAACATTCTGTAGCTAACGCCGGTCACTCACCAAGATAGCTGCCCAGTTCTCCACTGGTTTTCCACACACCACAGCTCAATTTCTCTCTGATGGCCGTTATTTCTTCTAATCCTTGGCTGCTCCTGGTCTCTTGGACGCCTAGCAGGCTCATAATTATAAGGTTTTGGTCCGTCATATGCATTCGAATATTCATGTTCAACTTCTTCTGTGTCTTCTGTGTCGAAACTAGCATTGGGATCCATGTTTATTAATATGTTACACCGGCCGCTCTCCTCCTTGTGTCCCCCGTGTTACGTCACACGCGGGAGGTCACGTGCCGAGGCTTTTTTATGCGGAAGTGAACATTTCTTACAAAAACGACGCCAGATGTCACTGTAGTGTATATTTCTTTATATTTTTTTGAAAATCTAGTGTATTCATCATTTTCCTACACATTTATTCACAGGTGTCTTTAACCTGGAAGTTGCTCTTTAAGTTAAGTTAAAGCCTTTTATTGTCATTATACAAAAAGTACAACGAGATTCAGAGTGCAGCTCTGTCCCAGTGTGCAACAACTAGACATACATAACATTAAAACATGGCAGTGAGACAGACAACATAAGCAATCATACGGGGGGAATAAATAGTTACAAATATTGATATAATATATAATTCACCTCACAACCACTAAGGCGGTTTATGTTCAGCACGTTTAGTAGTTTATTTCGTCCCTTGTCAGCAACTGATATTTTTATGACACAAGCATTAGTAATTTACCATTTCTATCATACACTTGGCAAACAAGAGCATAATCGCAACACACAGCACATTTATTGTTTTAATAATCATTAGAGGAAACATTTTAGGTAAGTAAACTAACTCTCGAAAATAAATAAAAAGTTCAAGTATATAGTACATATGGAAGTGTGTTTTCCACAAAGTGCATGGACCAATAGCATCCAATCTATGTTGACAAGATCAAAAGGAAGAAAAGGGCGATGAAGTTCAGCAGCTCTATTGCTAATACTATTGTTAGTCGGGATATTGAATTGTGCAACTCTGCATTCATTCCAACGACCAGCAGGGGGCGACTCCACCGGTTGCTTAGAAACATTCAAATTGTGTAGAAGTCTATGAAAAAATGTCTTTCTCGCTTGATACACATTTGATTGATATACGAGTTGGCTTTTAAAGCCTCATCCATTCAGCATTATGTTCCTTTGGTCCATTATGGTCCCATTAGGAGCAGGTCTTCATTTCATTTCAAACCTTTATTTAACCGGGTAGGTCCCATTGATATCATTGATCTCTTTTTCAAGGGAGACCTGCAGGTCTGGGAGATAGTCAAATGTATTTTTGCTTTCGATGATTATTAAAAAAAGATAATTAAGATAAAACACACAATAAGATATCCCTTTGTAAATATATGTCTATGGTTTGATTCAAAACGACCAAGATGTTGGATGAATGTATTTAAGCCCCCAGAATCACAGCCCAATTCAGTGACATGTAACATGTGGAACTTACTGTGACGAATACTGAGGCCAGCAGGAGCCCGACAGAGAAAATGAGTCCTCTGCTGTTGAGATGGATCTGAGGAGACAAACAGAGGTTACAGCAAAAGCTGCCTCTGACATGAAACACACACAAAACATCCTGTATTTATGACTTTTATTACACCTATTAGAATCTATCTATCTCCTCCTGTGAAGAGTAATCAACGGAGCACATGCTATCTTCTGAGTGTTAAGTGATAAACTGCAGTACGTGCTGTGTGGGTGTCTTAGTCCCTAGCTGCTCTGCACTGAATATGAGAGACAAACGTCCTTCATGAACACAGCTGTTCTATTCTGGTCGGAGTCCATCAGAACTCCCTCTGGAGAGCACTCACGGTGGAGCCGTAGTCGATGCAGAGCGTCTGCACCGCCCAGGGCAGACCCAGGCCCACCAGGATGTCAAACACATTACTGCCGATGGAGTTGGAGATGGCCATGTCCCCCAGACCTGAGGCAAGGAGAGCAACACTGTCAGGCTGTACAGTCGGGAGAGGAGTCATGATGCAAGCTGCTGAGTGACGCCACTCCTCCTCTAAACAGCATCTCACTCAACACAAGTATTTACTTCCTGTGTGTGTTTACCTTGCCGTGCGACTATAAGACTCGCCATGCAGTCTGGGACGCTGGTGCCTGCTGCTAGGAACGTGATGCCCATGATCACATCTGGGATGCCCAAAGTGAAGCCTATCACAGTCACCTGAAGAGAACAGGATATTAATACATAGTTAAAAAGTGTGAAGGCTACAACAGGAACATCTGGGATTGAATTAAATAGGTGTAACAGTTAGTATGAAGCCTTACTACACTGAACAACTGTAGCTTGATAATTAAAAAAAGACGTCATGATGCTGATCCTGTGTGGATTTGTCAGGTAGGAGTTCAACTTCATTAATTCAAATCTTAATAATTCTAACCCACCAAGGTATATATTTAAATATAAATGCTGTTTACAGAAGTACAGAGTGCACATTTTAACATTTAACTTAAAATGCATAGATCCTTTATTTATTTAATTCTATATCACTTTTGAGTGTGTTATAAGCTAAACTTTCATTATGTCACAGGCTAACGTGACTTCCTGTTATAATGCAAGTGAAAGTGCAGATGCTGTCTGCAATTCAAGATTTTCAAAAAATAACCCTTTTATCGTCCTCTGCATATGACCAAATACGGCTTCATTCAAAAATCAAAGAGTTAAACCTTTTTTTTACAGTCCCGAAAACTAAAATCCTTTAAGGATAGAACCTTCAAGTTTTATGCAGGCAATTATTTAAATGGTTAAAGATCAGCATGTGTTTTCACTGACCATCCAGACCATGATGTAGGAGAGGCCAGCGATCCAGATGGTGGCGGTGAAGAAGGAGACCATGAACCACCTCTCCCAGCGCCGCTTGGCACAATTGGGCACGGTGAAAAACAGAAGCAGAGACAGCGGCCACATGGTGATCCACTTCAGCTTGTTCCCCGCCCCGGCTGGAGGGAGGGAAGGAAGACGGTGATGGGACAATCAAATCATGATGTTTTCCGTCGTAGCACTAAAACCAAACATCAGAAAGTCATCAGTACCTGGAATTTTGAAAGGCACCGAGGGGCCGGAGTCTCCATCTTCCCCCTCTCCCTCCTCGTCGTTCTCGTTGTTCTCGTTATCCTCGTTCTCGTTCTCTGTCTCGTTCCCAGACTCCAGTCGCTGGAGTCTACACCTGCCGTTCAGACCCTGCTCAGCTCCACCCATCCCGTTTTCTAAGCCCCGCCTCCCCTGAGCCCTCGCGGCGGAGTCGGAGTCGCCGTTGGTGATGCGGTTGACCCGAGTCTCACTGGTGTTGATCAGTCTTTGTCTCTGGAAGGGATTATAGAACATGAGTATAGAAAACATTAAGAAAACCTTCATTAACGCGTTTCCAAATGCTGTTTAATAGTACGAGTAGCAGTGCGTCAGATACATTTTGTCTTCATTTATTTATACCATATAAAAAAAATGTTTGTGTCTGGAGCACAAGTTAATGTTGTTTCTCTTCTTTCAGCCAAAATGGGTTTGTTTGGCTTGGACTCACTGCAGGCTGTATTCAGCAGCAGACAGGGGCCTGAGAGAAAATGTTTAAAGTATCATTTATTCCACTTTCTGTTGAGGCCACCCAGGGTTATTCAGTTATGCTAAGATGCTGGTTTGGAAGGGATTTCTCAAAGTAACTGACTTCCTGCTTGAGGGTAGCTTTGCCGCTTCTCAACTTTTGAATGTATTTTTAATAGTTTGTACCATGTTTAACTACACAACTCAATATAGAGTCCAACCCAGTGTACACCAGTGTTTCGTTTAGCCGGTATTTACCGGACTTTGACTGGAAGAATCTGTAGAAATCTGGCAAATTTAAATCCCTTGGGTCGTATTGTCCGATCTGACACAAATTAAATTAATGTGTATTTAAAAAAAGTCAGAGCAGACTAGCCACTCGCAAAAGAGTGCACCGAGAAGCCATCACTGTGAGGACAGCGCTCATTGTGCCGCCGGACGCACCAGAATGATGCTTTGGGACCTTGATTTTCAGAAGAAACCATTTTGTGATGCACACGCACCTACTGCTTAGCAGTGGTTACAATAGACTGTATATATCCACTGTACAAGCAATACATTGACTAATATATATAGGTGACGCTATGCCCACCTTTTTCAATAGTAATTTCCAAAAAGTTTAAACCAACATGCATTGATGATGTCATTACTTATAAAGCCTTTTTATCAATGGTTGAAGCTCAAAAATAAACAGCGATAACATGTGAACAGAATATTTCCCTACTGTCCAGTAAATTGAAATCTTACTGTTCACGTTGACTAGCACAACAAAGGAAACGCTGGTGTACACAGTATCACAGTGCATGTGCACGTGTGGTGTATACAGTATGTAGTGCTATACACCTATCTCGTAAAATAGGATCCTGTGTTGAATCCCAACAGAGCCTCAAACCAGAGTTATGTGTATGTCAAATCATCAAGATCTGCACAGCAATGCAAAATACAGTACCTGACCCGCCCCCTGACATTTGACAAATCAGTTTGGCAACCTGACCCGACATGATCCTCCAATGCACCAAACCTTGGAGAGTACTTGAAAGGGTATTGATGCATATAGAGGATTAAATAATTAGGGTGAATGCAGCGCAGGGGTTCATTAAGCGTAAACCAATCAGAGGGTCAGCTTTATGATCCCACCTCCTGCGGTGGAGAAACTAAACTTAAAATTACTCCTGTTTTGGATAATGTGGATGATAATTTGGATAACGAATGTACCTCGTTGATGAGCATGCGAGAGGCCATGGTGAGGCGGGTCCTGGGGGAGAAGTGACTGGTGATCATGATCCTCATGCCGGCCTCAGAGAAAGACAGCTGGTGGGGGTACGCACACAGCAGCTCATCCACCATCAGCACCGACGGCGTACAGTGGAAGTTAGCTAAAAAGAACGAGAACGAGAACACACACACACACACAGTGTTAATCCAACTGAGAGCACAATTAGTCATCAGTCAAAAATCATGTGAAAGTGATTCTTATGATGTTCTTTTGTATTAAAAAGCAAGAAACATAATGCGTAAGGGGAAAAAAGGTGCTTTTTATGTATTAATAACATTGTCTTATTATTGAAAGAATGGAAAAAATGAAGAGATAAAAAGTGTTTTTCCGCCTCTGCTCTCCAAAAGCCTCTTTGTGGGTGGTACTGGTTTGATTGTCAGCTGAGACATGCAGGTACGTTTTCAGTCTGCTGGATGTGCTGAAGCTAATGAGCTATCTCTCTATGTTGCAAGAGAAAGTGTCACTGAAAGTTATTTCCTCGAGCAAAAGCCATCCCGGGCATAAGATAGTCTTGAGTAAGCAAAAAAGTAGAAAGGTACTGTGCCTCATTTTCACTTTCTTCAACAAGCTTGCAATGTCAGAACACCATTTGAATTCATCCACAGGGTTCCACGTTTGGATGTGATCCCAGCCTGGAATATGAGAGGTCTGGTTCTATAGGCCTCAGCAGACTGCGGCACTGTGAGATCCATACGCTGAGTACACATTGGTCGACAGCTCATTTCTCTGTCCCATATGTCCTTTCTTTGGCTTATTAAAAACGAATCTATGCACTGTCAACCTTCAACCTGTCAACATTCACAATAGCAGCCATAATTGGTTAATATATTAATTTCCCTCCAAGGCTTTACATCAATTTGAAACCTTGAACATACCCTCCGAAGTCCTGTCAAAGAGGCGTCCTATATTTTTGCATAGCATTTGAACCCTCCCAACCTCAGGTCTCTGCTGGCTACTGTAGAGATCTTGACCAAGGGCCCGAATCTGGGCCTAATCAGAGAAGGAACAGTGACACAGTGACACTTTCTGATGGCCTAAAGTGTGGACTGAACCAGTTGAAGAAATAACTCCAATTGTACAGAGGTCTATGACAAAATGTACCTAGATTGATTTATTACGTTGGTTAACATTTTTCTCATGGATTGGTGATCTTATTTGCGAGTCTCTTTTTTTGGAGTCCTTTTCAATACAGAATAAGGGCTTTTTTTGTAAAATGTGGTCCAATTAAGAGTAGAAGAGACAATAAAGCTGGGTATGCTTTAGGGCGGGGCTACCTTGTGACTGACAGATGGCTTTCACGGTGTTGTCCATGTTTTCATCTTAGAACTTTAACCCTTTTGCAAAATGATTTTGGTTCATGAAAGTGAATTGTATTAATGTACTTTAGCCTTGATGATGTTGGCCTTTCAACGTGCCACCTATCAGATAACAGATAACAGTTTTCACCAAATGGCTCTGCACCCAAACTCGCGGTGAGCACAGAGCCACATCGTGTATCATGTATGCAGCTTTAGGGTTGGTTGAACTAAGATCCTCCCTGTTGTGTCACTTGCGTTTATGAAAATAACAAGATAGCAACAGCTACAAACCAATGGTCATGGCTACGTCTTCTTCCACAGTCTATGATTTTGATGTAGCCCACTTGAACACATCGGCCCTGGCCACCTTCTGCTCAAACCGCCACCCATGTTCTCTCGGGACATCGCTCTGAGAATCACATGCAGAACAAGCTGACGGAGCAGGCTGGGCTGAAGCTGGTTGGAGGCTGGGAGGATGAACACAGGCCTTACCCAGCATCTTGTGCCACTCTCTTTTAGCTGTTGTTGTGTCCCACACTATACTTTACCGTTAAGGGCAGAGAGACAGAAAATGGTCTACTTATCAGAACCAGATACCACCACACTTATAAGAAGAGAAGTGCTGTGGTGTTGCTGAGCCGAAGGCGTTCATTGTATTCAATCGTTGATGACCAACATGCCAGAATGTTAGTCCACAAGCAGATGGTTGGACATCCAGGAGGTCAGCAGTGGGCTTCATTATGTACTGTAAGGGGAACTTGATCTTTGCTAAACAGGCATTATCGCACTAAGTTAATAACCCAAAAAACACAACATAATGCAGCTATAGCACTGAGGCTCTATTCTGGAAATAATCCCAGGACAAAAGAGACAGAACTTTGTCCATACATTTATCCTTGACTGTCTTATCCTGGAGCTGAACAAAAATAGATGTGAGTGGTGCCTTAGCTGCCTTTATGTACATTTCAGTGTGCAGAGATGAGCAGCTATGCACTCTTTAGAGGGCAAAGTCAGTATAAAATGGAGCACAATGTTCCACCTTTCTTGAGCAGGACTGCAGTCGCGTCACACGTGACATTATCCTCCAGATCAGTGCTTCCTGTCAGCCCATTGGACAAATTCACAGAACCTTTCTTTCGCCGGTCGAAGTAGCGATGCGCCCTGCCGTTAAACCTGCCAATGACAAATGAATTAAGAAGGGGCCACAACTTTTTAAACTCAATGCAACAAGAATGATCGTATACTGATGATGACACTCACTTCATGATGAGGATGTAGATTGCATACATGAGAATCAGGATAAGAGACTCCCACCTGCACACAAACACAAGGTCAGTAAAACGTATACGGTCATAAAAAGAGAAAGAGAGAGCATATTACTCACCAGCAAACCTCCTCATCGTATATGAACTAGAAAGGCGGGACAAAGAGGACACAAAAGAAAATTAGGTGGATGTAGTATTTGAAAGTGAGATTGATTCTGCTTCTCAACATCTACTCCACTAGAGGGCATGACCAATCCAGAGCTCAGACTGACAGAAAAAGGTCAAAGCATGACATTTGCTTCATTATCTTACTACTAAGTCATGGGTCAGGCTGTAACAACCTGTTCAATGGTGATATAATATAAGAGAGTACTTCTTTCTCCAAGCATTTATTTGCAGTTGTTAGTGGAGCCTATATTAGTGATACAAAAAAGTCCATCCTTATCTTTACGACAATTATTAATACAAATAAGTAAAAATACTCATTTGTTAATCAACACATATCTGTTTAAAATGTAAAAATCACAGCAAAGTAATGATAAAGTATCAAATGTGAAATTAATTATTGGCAAAATTCAATGCAGTGTTTTCTTCACTGTATTACATTGGATTGTTATTATACAAGCATTAATATTAACATTTTACTGTTTTAGCAAAGAGAATTTTGAGCACGGAATTGCACATAGGTAGAAATAAACAATTCTAAAATATAAACATCTGAAAAAAATGATCACTTTATTTATCGTCATCAAAACTGCAGCAAAACTGTACTTTAGTTTGATGATTTAGTTAATATACTTGGTAACTTTTTCTAAGTGAAGTGTTTGTTTCTTTTCTTGTATTTTGTCGGTAGATCATGTTGCCCCTTGTGAAGGTAAGAGCATATTTAACCTGCTGAGAGTTATTGGATGAATTTGGCACACAGCTTCAGCCTTTCATGATGACACACTACATATTTCATGGAACCAAAGCACATTTAAGAATCCACATTAACAGTGGACGAACAGTATGTTTTATTGGCTTTGTAATAAATATGAAGTGCATATCGAGTGTTGATTTCAAAGCTGGGAACCATAAACTGCACTTTCAAACTGGCCTCATAGTGAGTCTTTCTACTCTAACCACACACTTGATCATATGAATAAACCCTCTTACCACGATGAGGGCCGTGATGGAAAATGTGTAATAAGTCGAATCTCGGAGTAGAGCCCAGTGAGAGAGCTTCACTGCCTGCAAGGAAAAAAAGGGAAAGCGGAGATAAGGGTGGGGCTTGGGGATCACGTGATCAGGATATAATAAAAGGAACGTGTATTATTTGTACAGGTAACTAGTCATTGGACTACAAACAGAATACATTTTAAAGTAACCCCCCAACCCCGCCTAGAAGTCCCATCTTGCATGTGCCCCTCCCAGCTGTGGAATTGTTTGCTGCTGCGAGGATAAGTTAAAGCATAACAAAGCTTTAAAGTGTTTGCTTGTACTCTCTTTCACTCTAATAGTGTAGATGGAGCCCGCTCTGAACATCCCGCCAACAGTAACAAACAGTTCTGAGGTGGAGCGGGCGTACTGAAGATGATTGTACTGCCCTCCTCCCTCATTATATCACTTTGATTGCGTAATGCACAACCTGGGATTGCATCACTGTTGGAGGTCCAGTGCATATATCTTTCAGAGCAGAGAGCTTATCCTTGTACTCCGCTCATTTCATTTTCATAATATGTCCCGGCATGTCGGATATGATCAGAGGGAGGCTGCGCTATATTATTTTCTTTCTGCATCTCATGCAACACACAGCAGTGAGGAGGCATGCCTGGGAGTCGCAGTTATGTTGGGTCTATTAACACTGGATTGGTAATGGGCATGACATTTTACTTTTTGGTAAAACCACTTGTATAAGCAACCTTGTTGTATTTACTTAACTTGTAATTATCTACTGCAAACAAAATAACTTGTATCTGGGCCCAGAGAGCGTGTGCACATGCGTTTTGTTTAAACCAATCACTTCTGATCTGATCTGGATTCAGCTTTTAGTGCATTTTAAACTTTTACACCCTAAGGATTCAACTAAGGGCTATAAAGTGTTGTTAATTGTTGGTTTATTTAGTTTATACAGATGCATCATTCATTAGACCTACCCATCAGTGCAGCCATGTTCCAGTGATGTGCTTGTGTTTCTATATTTTTAGAACGAAACAAGTAAAAAGGGATTTATTTTTAACTTAGGGCTTAAGTTCAAAATAAATCCCTTTTTACTTGTTGTTGCCTAAGTCTTAGGCATGCTTAGAAGTCCCTTTTGTGTTGCAGTGTGTAACTGCACAGAGATACAAACTGTATTGTGTTGGGACGTTGTACTTAAGGCTTGTTTAGCACATCGAGCATAAGAGGATGATAAAAGAAGAAATCAGTGATACGTTTTCAATGTGTATTCAGGACTGTGGCATGAAACGTTTTAACACTGAACTCTGTTATTTTTCGAGAAGCAAGCCACATGAAAGGTTAGAGATACCTGACTACTCGGTGAGAGATGAAATGATGAAAAGATGTTGTGACAGCAAAGGTTACATCTGTAGGCAAGCCCTTAGAGGCAAGTGAAAACAAAACATTCTTGTGAGATCTAAATAGTTTCTCTCGTGTGTATACGACTAAGGAACTGGTGAAACAACAAGGCTACAAGTTACTTTCTTTAAAACCCTAGCTAGAATTACCGCCTTGCAGTTGTATGTGTATGTGCAAAACAGTGAAATTGCAGTTTACGTTCATGTCTTTCAAAATGTCATCACTTCATCATCATTTTATTCTGTTAGACTGTATGAAATTGTTAAAATCAGCATAAGAATACCTGGCCAAGCTTGTGTTTTGTAAGGCCTAGGTGAACTAGACCTTTAGCTACATGTATTGTGTCACAGCAAGTTTGGTAATGTGACAAGCATTTCTTTAGAACATAGAGGAACGTTGAATTGCTGTCTCTTTTTGCCTTCAAAAGTATTATAACAAAAAGCAAAGGATTCTGACAAAAACAATGGCCCCATGACCTCCCTGACGTCGGGCCCAAAATACTTTTTCCCATTGACTTACATTGCAGATCATTTATCTTCTACAAAATTAACAACGCAGTAAAGGTGCTAAAAGCTAAATCCAGTTATTATTCCTCTCCATTCATTTAACTAAGTGGGGACCGGACGTGATGCTGCCGTTACACAGTGGATTGGAGGCGGGGCTAAAGGAAAACAAAAGTGTGCATGCTCTATGGAACCAATGGATGCTAAAGACTGCCGGAAGATCCAAGTATTTCTGTTCTTGAGTCAGTCCATTTTCTCTGAGAGATTAGCGGAAATGTTCTCCGGTTCTCTTCACACATCCATGGTGAAATTGCAGGATATATCTAAACCAAATCTACATGGTTTACAAATATTCAGCTTCCCTGCGTAGCTGTCTATTTTGTGCATTCAGCTAAATGGACTCATGCACGCATTAATGTACGGTATGTTTGTTTGTGCTGCATCTGCATGTATGCATACTGTACGAGTACTCTCTGCCACTGGTCGTTAATGTGGCTGAACACACACTTAAAGGTGACATTAGGCTGTGGGTTTCACTCTGGTAAATGACAGCAGGTCAGCAGCGCTCTGAGGAAATCATACCTGTCCGGCGAAGAAGCCGCACACACCGATGATGCAGAGGATGTTGAAGACGGCCGAGCCCACGATGGTCCCCACACCCACGTCACCTTTGGTGATGAACACCCCTGGGGAGAGAAGGAAACACACACGCAGCATTATGACCCCACAGAGACACAGACGTGTTGTACACTAGCTGACATTTCAAGTCGCAGCGCACAGATATCACACAACTGTCAACACAAGTGAAATGACTAAATACTCTGCCGAGACAGTCATGTACCTCTCTCACACTCACACACAAACAAACCTAAGCACAATACAATTATACAAAGTGCAGGCTGTACGTTACATTTGGTTTATCTATAATCAAATATACTAAAGGAGTGCCTTTCTAGAAGTGGAAGTTCTTCATATCCTTGTGAATATGTTGTAAAAAAAAGATTAAAACATTTACTTTCATCATTATCATTGTTATTATTTTTTGATTTTGATTTTTTTTCCATTAAAGGTCCCATGTCATGCTTTTCTGGTTCTTACCCGTCCCCTTGTGTGTTATGAAGGTTTTTCTGCATGTAAACGTTCTGCAGAGTCACAAACCCTCAAAGTACACTCTGTAGCGCAGGGGTGGGGAACCTTTTTCCTCTCAAGGGCCATTTCAATTTTTACAACATCCTTCGAGGGCCGTACAAATTATTGAACTCAACGTTTGCTTAACAAACTAAAATCACAGCCCATTCATTTTGCCTTTCTTTCATTCTATCCATGTGGACATGATGCGGCGGAGTGTCTATGATATGATATGGTGTTCTTGCATGTTGGTAGCGCTTGGGTGATGCTTGGGAGGTTGTCTCCGAAGACCGCGGCGGTAGCGGGATAGGAAAGACGACAATCTCGAAAGGGAGGAGCGCGTGGGCGTCGGCCACCTCTTGAGGCCGGTCACGGCCCTGCCTATGTCCGGGCCTCTGTGGGTAAACCATGCGAGTCTCCATTTAAGTATATTGTGAGTGGAGTGCGTTTTTTTTTTGTTGAGTCATTTGGATCGGGCGTTTTATTTAGATTGTCGCTACGGTTTGATTGGGAGAAGGACGGTTTCCAGTCGGCGCGGGAACTTGGTGTTGTGTCTCGGATTGCACGGTAGTGCAACCCATTATTACCATAGTTGTTTAGTTTACGTGTTCGTCCCACTAAGTCATAGGATTGGCCTCCTCGTGTCTTGCGCCTGGAGGCCCGTCCTGTATAGTGTTAACCCTATGCGTAGTTCCTGCGGGCATGTGCTACGGTTCGTTTATATAATCGCTACTTTGTTGCACAGATAATTCAGTAGACTTTTCTCGTGGTCACTTGCTAGACAAGTCAGTGACGGTTATCTAGTATGTGTTTTTGTTTGAGTATAGTCTATACTGTATAATTCTAGACTGTACAATTTCGTCATCGATACTGTTGCGTATTGTCTTTCTGAAAAAAGAGGTTGGTTCTCCATTTCCGTGTGAGAATTATGACTTAGTAATAGATCACTAGTATGCTGTTTTGGTCTCTTGATGGTGTCATTGTCGATATGTTATGATTATGAGTGTAGAGTTTTGGTGTTCACAATAATTATTGTGTCTTGATGCAAACTTTCCCTTTAATAAAACTTTTATAGGTAGTTTGGTCGTTTTTTAGACGATGCAAGACAAAGTATACCCACAACGCTCTCTAATAGGTATCTAGAGAAGTACAACGAGAGTTTCACGTGGTCTAACTACGAAATTGAAGTTATAAATTTTTTAGAAGACCCACCCACGTACGGAGGTTTGGGGGCTCTACTCAATCTCGGGGGTGGGGTG